AGCCAGCCCTAGGGCATTTTTAATAACTTTTCTACATTAAAATTTGTATCATTTTGTTTTATGACTTTCAAGTTAAAAACTTAAAGGATCATTTGGAAAGTAAATTAGGTTGATGAAGCCTGTAGTTCTCCCTTGAATTCAAAAATATTCATTCTTAGTAGAGTTGCAAAAAAAATAAAGTAATTGCAAATGACTTTTTCCCAGGAAGTATTTAAGCAAAGATGGGTCTCACATTGGCAGATCTATAGATGTAAGCCCTAAAATGATGTAGAGCAGGGGTGTCAAACTCAATTTCATTGAGGGCCACATCAGCATTGTGGTTGCCCTCGGGGGACCAGGTGGGTGTGGCCAGGATGGATGTGGCCTACTGGGTGGGTGTGGCCTATTGGGTGGGCATGGCCAGCTCTACATCATTCGCGTCAAGGGTGCCTGTGGGTGCCTGGGCAGGAATGGGACAGATCTGAGGGTCTCTGGCAGAAGGGGGTGGGACCAGGGCAAGTGCCAAGGCATGGTCCACTGGAGGAGCCTCACCGTTCCTTTCAGGCCATGCGGGGGGGCTGGATGATGGTGTGGGCTGCCCGGAGTCCTGGGCAGCAGAGGTCAAATGCCCAGCCTGGCCCTCGACCACCCGCAGCACCAAGCCCAGTCCCACTTACCCAAGGGGGCGCCCAGCTGCATTTACCTCTTCCTCAAGGCTGCTGCTGCTGTGCTTGCTCTCCTTAACCAGGTTGCTCATGATGGGTACGAGGGTAAAGTCAGAGGGAGGCCCATTCCCTCTCCATGGGAGGAGACCCAGCTTTGTATCCAAAGCTTCCTTAGCAATAGGATGGGAGACCCCCAGGATAGGCCAGGAGGAAGGGGCAAGGGGATGGTAAAAGGGCAGCGGGGCAGGACTAAGGTATGACTTCCCTCAGACCCTTCCTCTCCTTCTTTCCTTTCTTCCTTCCTAAGTACAGAGTGGTGGAAAAATATTTGAGATGAGGGAGAGAGAAAAACAGGCAAGAAACACAGCTGGGGTAGTGTCACCCTTCGTGAGGAATGAGGAAATGCACCATCGCCTGGAAGTGGCCAGCACATGGCCCTCACCTACTTCACATATCTGACTTGGTGGGCTCTGGGGGAGGGGATGCCATGAGCAGCGTGAGAGTCAACGTTACCTACGCAATGCCGCCAAGCCCCCAGCCTGCCCGGTTTCGGCAGGCAGGGGGGCGCTGTCCTCACAGCACCGAGAGGTTGAGCCGGGTGGTACAACGTTTGTCAGCGTTGCACCTTGCTGCCTGCCGAAACCGGGCAGGCTGGGGGCTGGGTGTCATCGTGCTTCTTTTTGGATTTGTGCCGCCTGGTTCAGCCTCTCGGTGCTGTGAGGACTGCGCCCCGCTGCCTGCCAAAACACCTCCCCCAGAGCCCATCAAGCTGGATATGTGAAGTATTTGCTGGCCACTTCCAGGCGATGGTGCATTTCTTCATTCCTCACAAAGGGTGACACCTCCCCAGCATGTACCCAGGTGGTGGGGCCGACACAGCAGGGGCTGGTTCCTCGCTGTTTCCAGACGGTCTTGTGGAGCTAAGACTGAATGCGTTTCAGCATAGATGGCCACCACAAAATTGTACATTGGCTCCTGGCTGGCCTGGGCCAGGGCCAAGGCAGCGGGGGCTGGTCCCTCACTGTTTCCAGGATGGCTACGCGGGCCACATAAAATCACTTCGCGGGCCGCATCCGCCCCCCCCGGGCCTTGTGTTTGATATGTCTGATGTAGAGGAACTATAAATCAAAAGTTACAATTCATGGGAATGCTCAGATTTCAGTGACTGAAAATTCTGTTTCCTGGTGGCCAGCTTTACACTTATTCTTCAGGATAATGTTGGTGGAGTTTGTGAGAAAAACATGTAGAATGTTTTTTCTACAACTGTTCTTTGGAGAGGGTGAACGCTAACCTTTTAAATGTGTTTGGATTGCATTAAGTTTGAGAGCAGAACGAAGAGGTTTTGTTCATAAGAATAGATTAAGGTTCTATCATGAAAGTAATTTAGGAGGCTGTTTTGAAGAATGATGAGACAAAAGTAGCAATTGATATGGAAAGTTGAACAAATGGAATCCAAGAGCTGGTCAATTCCCTTGTGTCAGCAAAACATTTATGCTTCCAACTTTCAAAACTGCATTTGTGTATGTGTTTGAGATGATTTTATGAGGAAAAGACTTGATCTATGTC